TCAAGTGTTTGTAAAACACACACATCCACTGTATACCTTCTTGGGCTCCGAGACCTCTCCCTCTTTTCTCTGCTGCTTTCTTTTTCTTCCTTATCCCTCTTATCCTTGTCTTCATCTTGCTTTTTCATAGATGCCAACTTTTCTTGTTCAATCTGCAGACCAAGTTTTCAGAGTAAACATAGCTGAACGTTTGAGATTACCAAACAGAGGAAGACTTTGCACCTCTGAGAAACACCAATGCTATAAATCGTTTCATGAAAAGCATGTCTGCTTTTCAACAAGACTATTCTTGCTGAAAATTAATCCCTAACAGCCGAATCAAAGAGAATAGCTGTTTTCCAGTTTACTTAAAAAAAATAATTTTCACGTTAAACTTATTCTTCTGTGATTTCATAGACACACTGCCCAGGCGAAGAAGCCACGCTTATGCTTTTACATTATTATTAAAGTTCAATTTACTTAACTGGAAGTACTCACCTATTTAAAAATACATATACCAACCAAATTACTGACTCTGGGAAAATGACACCTTAACTTAAACTCTGTTTGGGTTAGGGTTGGGAGGATGGAGTGGAGAACCCAAAATGGATGTTCAAATAGATTACAGCAAAGCAACAGGACATGGCAATCATGGCCAGGTTGGGTAAAATTTCAAGTGTCTTAGCAGTCTGGATACCATGCCCTCAAATCAGTTTTACAAAAGAGAAAGGCCATTACTTGTCTTTGTTTGATTTCTTCTTTCTTCAGTTCTAGAAAAGCAGAAGGGATTCCAGCGATGTTTTCTTGTGCACTTAAGAGCAGGGGCCACAGTTCTCCCATAAATTCTCTAGCATTTTTTCCATTCAAAAACCCAGTCAGGTTGATTTGCATCATTTTGGAGTCTGGATTCTGCAAAAAGACATGACAGGAAGAGAAACAGGTTACTTCAAAACAAGCCAACCAACCAATCTAAAACTCATTAAATTAGTATTTTTTAAGTCTACCATAGGGGCTTAAATACATATATATTTTCTACTACTTAAAAAATAGTTTTCCCTAATAGCTTCTCAGCAATAGACTCTCTAGCACAGATTGCCAAATTCTCTCTCACTCTACCAAAAGCATCAGAGCAGCCTGTTAATCCTTTGTGGATTTCGTAAGTATTTTTAGACTACGTGGCTGTTAGTGGGCCTTACATTTATTAACTTTAAAAACCATCATGAACATCCCACAAATTCCTGCATTTACTAACAAGGAAAGTGTTTGCTTGCCTGGAAATTTTCCCCCAATGAGAAACTGAAAAAGGACATAAACTGTTCACTTCTCTAGCACTAGAAGAGAGCTTTCTATAAAGTATCTACTGTCCAGTTATGAAAACTAACAAGTTACGCATGCACTCTGTAACTTCTGAAGACTAAGCTGAAAGCCTGACTTCTACATAAGGAAAATCTACTATAACAATGCCTCAAATTCTCAACTGTCCACAAAGGGCTAAGAGGTCAAGTTTTCTCAAAAAATAACTGGGTTTTTAAATGCTAAATCTGTTGGTCAAGCAACAAGGTCCATATAACAAGCACAGCTCAATAGCACAAAGCAAGTACAGATTCCAGGTGTCTTCAGTTTCTTCTTGGAACCTTGGGGGTTTGGAATCGCCAAGTCCCCTGTAGAGAAAGATGTTCCCTTGGCTTGCTTCCGACTCCCTACTGCAACTCAACCACCTTGAGTTTAATGTTATATCATTTATCTAAATTGCAAAAGACGAACAAGCAATAATGAGTACACAACCACAAAAAAAGAAAAGATTGTTTAAAAAAGTTCTAAACTTTAATCTCATGCTCACTACAAGGGGAATACTACCAGATAGTTAGGTTTTAAAAATGCACTAAGATACAAATCAGTAAAGCATTTCTCCAATACAATCTATATTTAATCATTTTAAGAAACATTTTCCCATGTTCCTGGTTTTCTAAATGTACACATTTTAAAAGAAGTGCTTTCTTAAAATTAATCTTTACAAATATTCACGACAAAATGTAATTACCAAATTATTTTAAAAATAGAAATACCTTATCAGTTGAAATGCCAACTGTTCTGTCAAAACACAAGGGCGAACTCTTTGGGAAAAGGATTAACGTAAAGGTAAATTCACATTGGTATATTTGCCAAAAGGTCATACGGTACATCTTACTATCCTCAGGGTTGTGGCAAAACAACAAACTATAGTATGATAAAACTGTTTTTAAACATTAGTTGTCATCATCTCATATTATCTCATGTATGAAGAAAGGAATGATCATACTAACTGGTTCTAATAATGCTGCCATTTTATTTCAGTCTGAAGTTCAAGCATAACGTAAACAAAAACTCTGTGCCTAAAACGTTAATCGATGACTAGCTGACATGCAGCTACAGCTAAAGACTTCAGTTACTTGATTATTTTAAAAACAATATCCAATCAAATCAGAATTGCCCCTCATGCTTCACATAAACGTCCATCTCATAATAGTATTTTTAAAGAGCAGTGTATAGATTTACCCAATTGCTCTTTCCTGTTTGTGTTTTTGTTGTTGTTGTTGTTGTTGATGTTCGGCCACTTTACACAACTCACCTCCAAACACACACTGCATCATCAAGGGAGTTGGGTCAGAGCGACATTGGGACACTCACTCTGCTGTGACCTAATAAGGTGATGGTGCTATACTTCAGACGCAAGGAATAACTTCCATTTTGGTTCAGGCCTTTTAAATCATAAATCACATTATCATTAGAAAATTGCTGTCAAAGTAACTTAACATGTAACAGCAAAATTACAAACAATAAGTTTGATTTTTCACCTGTGTAGCTTTCAAAACTATGTACCTTCACTAAACTTCCAGCCTTAATAGTCGTTTACAAAGTGAATTCTTTTCACAACAAACATTGTAAAACAACCCTCCTATATTTGCACTCCATAGAAAAATTCAGTTTCCATAGATTCACAAAATTATGTCACATATTCAGAAATAAGAGCCACTTGTGTATTATTACCTTCACTTCCAGCTGGTTGAATATAAACTCAATCACAACATCATCTTCAAACCCAAGGATTTCCGTTACTCGTTTTGTTATCCAAGGCTTTATAACCTCCAAATTTACTTTGCTCATATCCACCTGATAAAGCACACAAGAAAGCTCACTTAGGAGTTTTGTCCAACAAAATTCCTTTTAACTTATGCAATTTTTTAGTGCAGCATGGTACAATCTGGCTCTTCTTATGTGGTTGTGCTATTCTGTGCACGTGGCTGTCGCTAAAAGGTGGAAAATGTTAACAGTCCCAAAAATGAACCAACTGTGCTATAAAGGTGCAAAAACAGTATTATCTAGAAGAATACCTTTTTTTCTAGGCATTCTGCAAATTTCAGCTGCTTCAGTAGCTTCTTCTGTTTGTTGCTGAACCGATTATCCTGTTCTGCACTTGTTCCCTGCAGGATGAGAAACATGTTTTAATTAAGAATTCAAAGTTAAATTCCTACTTTTTATCAGTTAATGACGGCTATGACCTTTACAGGAGAAATACGGTAATCCAGTAAATAGAAAACACCATGGCTAATAATATTCATAGGTGTAGAATGCATTCTCTTTCCCAGTGAAGCTGACATTTTAAAAACCTGAGTGCATTTAAAAATTACAAAATACAAAACTCGTTGTAACAGGTCAATATGGCACATGTAGCATAAAGCTAGCACCTCCTCCACAAGCAAGTTAAGGTTGGTGTGTTAAAAGATGTTTAAGACTTTTTTTGTATAAATGAGAATACACTGAAATATTTACTATACTTAAAATACATACTTTCAAACAAGACCATTATTTTTTTTTAATGTTTATTTATTATTGAGACAGAGAGAAACAGAGCATGAGTGGGGGAGGGGCACAGAGAGAGGGAGACACAGAATCCCAAGCAGGCTCCAGGCTCTGAGCTGGCTGTCAGCACAGTGGGGCTCCAACCCACGAACTGTGAGATCATGACTTGAGCAGAAGTCAGACACTTAACCGACTGAGCCACCTAGGTGCCCCAAAACAAGACCATTAAATTTCATCCTCTTCTGAAAACCAGTAGCATGCTTGCAAATTATGGCAATGCATATGAATAAGGGGAAAAGAAAAAAGAAAACACCCTAGGATTGTGCTAGTTTTCATAATTTTGAGAATGTGGAATCCGTTACAGGTTTACCCTAATCATTAACTTAATTTCAGCAATACCTTTGGAAAAATGGGAGCTTATAAATACTACACGAAACTATCAAGTGATCATTAATTAATCTGCATTTTCTCCTTCCAAGTGAACCAAATAAAAAAATAACTGGCTATGTGATGTGAAATCTACTGATTGGTTCACGGAGTTGGCCACTGCCCCTTGGAAAGTGATCAGGAAAATTTTGATTAGGAAGGTAAAGAACCTGGATTAGAATCCCAAATCTGCCACTGTTTAAGCCACAGGACTCAAAGCACGTTACTAAACCTCTTTTAGAATGCTTCCTTACTCGCTAAACTCTACTTGGCAGGGTCGTGTAAACGGAAAATAATATACGTATAAAGTAACGCGCATGGCAGAAGCTCAGCGCTACTGTTTCTATCTTAAATGAAAAATTCAATGTACTACCTTGTTGGCTGTATACTAAAAAGATAACTGCCCTAAATTCTTTTAACTCAGAGTTTAAACCCACTCAACTCCCTGAAGGAATTAGAGGTGGTATATAAAACCCACACATCCTTTCTTCCAGGTGTTTACTAACACCAAAAGCAAGCTTCGTTTTAAAATTTATCAGCCACCTTGTTGCTTTTCTATTGGAACTCTTTTCCACTGGAAGGAAGTCCTAACAACGACAAAAAACCAAAATCAAAAGAATCGGCTTTTGTGTCAAAATATTACACTGGATCACAGGGAATATGGAGTACTCAATACAAAATACTTTGATGGAAATTAGAGTTCATCAACAGCACGAAAACGTGATAAGCACTCTCAATTCAAACTGTCGTTACAGGAATCAAACAGCAAGCATCATCTGCACAACCTGAGAACAGCCAAACTGGCGGGAATCAAACTGCAACTTTCCACGAAAACCTAATTGGCACATTTAAAGCCAATTCAAAAACTTCCACGTCGGCTTTAGGGCCTCAAGAGTTCGGTCCTCAAGTCGGTCTTCCCCTCTTCCAACTTTCCCTTTAAAAACGCGCAAACGGCCTATTCTCCGCCCCAGAGAGCGCGGAGGCCGCATATGTTACACAAAGTATGGGTTTTGACCCAAACCGCTGGTCTCTATGGGGTACGTTCTGCATTAAAAGCACGTGCGAACTCCAGTCCGAGGGGTGTCACTTCCCAGCCATCTAGATCTCTGCTGGAGAGCCCTCATTCCCTGCAGAAGCCGAGTGCGGGGCCAAGGGGCCCAGCAGTGGCAGCCCGGTAAAGTCCGAGCCCCGAGCACCAACTTGGACGAGGCGGCCTTTCCCGCCGGCAGGTGCTGCGAGCGTGGCCCCCGGACAATCCAGGTAGGTGAGAGGCCCCCTTTCTCCAGCGGACTTCAAAACAAAACAACAAACGGGGGCAGAGGTAGGGGCGGGGGGCGGTGTGCGGGAAGGAGAGTAGACCCACCCCGCGTCCCTGCCTCCAGACACGTGCACTTTTTGTTGCACCCGTTGCCCTTAAAGAGTCTCAGATTCAAACGTTCCAACTACGCATTATGTGAGTTCCCCTCCCTAAAGGGATATCAAATTGGGCGGGAGTTCCCGCGAACTCTGACCCCGCGCCTTTGCGAAGACTTAGGACCGAGAGGGAGGACGAGGGAGGGGGTGGTTGGCGCCGCTCTCGAGAAGCTGCCGAACGCCGTTTCCTGTCCTCTCTCTAACACGCTCTCCCGGGGCGGTACCCCCCGAAACCGTGCTCCCCGGAATCTTCCCGCCGCCAGTCACCTCAGGGCTTCCCTCCGGCCTCCCCCCAGGGACTTCCTCCTCGCGGCCCAACTAGGCCCTAGGACCCGGCGGCGCGCGCGGCTCGGCCTGCAGGCCCCACTAGGCAGGCGAGCGGCGAGGTAGGGCCCCGGCCCCTTCCCGCCGCCATTTTCCGGCGACCGTCGCTGCCGCGTAGGGGGGACGATCCCGGAGGAGGAGACTGCGCAGGGGCGCACTGGACTCCGCCGCAGGGCAGGCGTGGGGGGGGAGCGTCCCCCGGCACGGAGGGCCATCAGGATCTTCAAAGCCTCCCCTCGTTGGCCACACCGGCCCGAGTTTAGGCCTCCTGCCGAGCCTCACCGGTAAGTCCCTCACCTCACCCCGGATCCCCGCGCTTCTACTTACGCGGAAGAATCCCGCGTCCATCTTGCTGCCTCGCTCGGAGATCGCTCCCTATCCCAAGATACACCGCGCCGCCGCGACGGAGGGCGGGACCGGCAGGGAAAGCCGAGCGCCTGGACGCAGCGCGCGCCGTTCCACCCGCCCCTTCGGCCGACACGAGGCCGCGCCTGCTCAGTGCGCTGATCACCGGCCACGCGTGCGCACGCGCGCCCCGGGGGAGCGAGCCGCTGCCGGATCCCGAGACTTCCAAGCAGCCAGGCCGGGAGGAGTCTCGCGACCGCAGCCAATAAGAACGAGAGAGAGGGAGGGGGCGAGAGAAAGAGAGGGAGAGGGAGTCGTCCGGTCGCCCCACCCTGCAAATCCTTTTGTAGCACTGGATCAGCCCCGTTCGCGCAGCGTCACTTGACCCACCCTTCGACCCGTAGTGGAGGAGGCCTCCCGCCTCCCGCCCTGCGGGTTCCACGGAGCGATTGAAGCGAAAGGCTGTTACCTCAGAGTGACGCGGGCGACGCCGCCTCGCCTGTCATCCCCAAAGTTGGGGTTGTGTTGGTTTTACGAGTTCACCGGTCGCTAAGGGCGCCTCGAACGTGGCGGCGCACTGTACCGTGAATGAAGCCCGCCCCGTGGCCGGGTCCCCGGGGCTTCCTGCCCCGCTCGGCGCACGGCCCCCTGGTTTTCGGAGCTACCCGGAAACGGCCGGTGGGCGAGTTTCGGCTTCGGCAAAAGCCGCGCCGACGGGCCGGAAGCGCGCGCGAGCGCCGTGGCCCCGGGCTGCGTGTCGGGCAGGGCCCCGCCGGCTCCCGGCGCGGGCAGGCGCGCGTCCCCCCGGCCGCGGTTTACACAGTTACGTCCCGCGCTCTCGCGCTCTCCTTCCCGCATCACCCCCCGCACCGTGTGGGTGGCCGTTCCCGCGGCCTTAGATACGAGTTCTGTGCTAACACGGCCTCGCTCAGACTTCCTCTCCCCATCTTCCCCGCCTGTCCAAGGCCCCCTCCTGCTTGGCATTCCACTGGGAGAGACATCTGCGACTGGACATGTCGGGGATTTGAAGCCCCGACGCCTTCCCTTCTCTCCCCTCACTCCTCACACACCCCGGAAAGCCGACCCGCCCCTCCCCAAGTCTCCTGCCTCTGTCGCTGGCCACAGCTTTCCTTTGTTCAGGCCTCAAGCCTTGGGGTTATTCTGGACCTCTCTCTTCTACCCCACTTCCGGACTACCAGGAAACCCACTGAGCTGCGATCCTGGCTCAAGGTGCCGGCAGCTTTTGCTCGAACTAACGCACTGGCTTCCTAACTGGGCTCCCTTCTACCCTGGCCACTGAGCTGCTCTCCTAAATTCAGCAATCAGAGTGATCCTATTAGAAACCCGTAAACATGTCACTCTTAAGGCCAAAACCTTCCAAAAGTCCCTCATTTTCCTCCGAACAAAGGCTAAAATACTACCTGATGCTCCCCTACTTCTTTGATCTTCCTAGTGGCCTAACACTGCTCACTACTTGAACTAAGCCTGCTCTTGCCTCAAGACCTTTGCCGATAGTCACTTCTGCCTACAATGCTCTACCATCAGCTATCTACTTGGTAAACTTAAAGGTTTTACTCACGTATCATCTAGTCAACGAGGTCTACCTTGACTATCCCACTGGAAATTGCTTACACACACTCTCTATAACCCTGATGCCTCTTCATCTACTTGACTTTCTCCCATAGCTTTTACCACCCTGAAATATTTATTTACCTATTTTTAATGTTTGTTTACTATGTGTTCCCCACACTAGAATGTAAACTTAAAGTCAGGGCATTTGTCTTTTTTGCTCACTGGTGTATCCCTAGCACCTGGAACTGTGTCTCTCATATAGCAGAGGCTCAATAAGATTTTTTAAAACTTTTTAAAAATGCTAATTTAAAAAAATTTTTTTAATTTTTTAAATATTTCTGTTTTAAAAAAATTTTTTTTAATGTTTTATATATTTCTGAGAGAGAGAGAGAGAGACAGCATGAGCAGGGGAGGGTCAGAGAGGGAGGGAGATACAGAATCTGAAACAGGCTCCAGGCTCTGAGCTGGCAGTCAGCACAGAGCCCGATGCAGGACTCAAACCCACGAACCGTGAGATCATGACCTGAGCCGAAGTCGGACACTTAACCGACTGAGCCACCCAGGGCCCCTCTGTAAAATTTATTGAATGAACAACAGCGTTGTGGCATTGCCAAAGCGTCACAGACTGGGAACTAACTGGCTTCCACAGAACAGGCCCGGTGACCAGATGGAACTATGAAATCACAATGCCCCACATCTCACTATTATCTGTGGTTCTGGTCAGTCATTGTGATTTAGCTCTTCTTTACTCTCTGTGCCTTTACTGCCAGTCCCATAAATGTTGACTTTCCTTGCAGTTTTGCCATTGACCCTTTTTTACTTTTTACTCAGCAAAGATGACGTATCTGTCCTCTCTTGTTTTCAATGACCATTTCATCTTCAAACTTATGTATTTCAAAGTTCTGCCCCAGACCCATAGGTGCAACTTCTTGTTGACAGTTACTTGGGATGTCCTGTAGGAACCTCATACTCAACATGTCCCCAGATGACTTCATCTTCCATTTGCCTCAACCCTTTGTTTTCCCATTTCTCAATGAATGAGCCTAACTTTCTCCCTGTCATCATTCATGGTCTTCAGACTCCTGCCTTTTCATTTCTGTTGCTTTCTTCCCAGCCCCATTGTCTCTTTAATTTGGATTACTGTCTGGGCCATTGCAGCAACAACCTATTAACATTTCCCCTCCCTTCAGGGTTGATGTCTCCAACCTATATGAGTGTGATTTTCTAAGGTAATAGTCTTAATCTTTTCACCCTTCAACTTGAAAACCTTTCTGTGGCTCCCCATCGTCCTCTAGATAAAGCCCAAGCTAGTTATTGTGGTCTTCACAACGCTTTATGATTTGTTTATTGCTCACTTCTTCAGACTCATCACACGGACCGATCCTCTCCCTGGCCACATCCTTCACTTCTAACCTGCAGTCACACTGAGCTACAGATGTGGTCTAATTGTGAACAGGTTCGGTTTCAAAAGTCAGTTTCTTGCCTGTAGTTTGGTAAATCTAAAGTTACTAAGAGCTGACTCACCTATCACTTCCTCAAACAAGTCTTTTCTGACCAGCCTTCCAAAAACAGAGTCATCTCCCCACTCACTCTATCATACGTTGCTTTATTTTTTCTTCATAGCACTTCATAGTCCCTGATGTTGTTATCTATTTTGTTTACATGCTTACTGTTTTTGCTCCCATGAAAAAAAGAAAGAAAGAAACTATGAGTTTCTTGTTCACCATTAAAGCCTCAGTGTCTAGAACAGTATCTGCCACATTCTTGGAGCTCAGTAAATATTTGCTGAATAAATGCATGAGTAAGAGTCAGGACCAGGAACCAAAGGCATTTCTAGCAATGAGTAAGTCTGTTTTTTGAAATAGTATAACCATTGATTCTATCAGGGAGAGTCCACATTGAAAACTCTGCTGAGGCAAATAAGCCTTCTCCCTGCCAGTGCAGTGTAGAAGTACTTGGCAGTGAAGGTATTTGCAGACGCCATCTCCTGCTCACCTTGATGCTGTGCAGATCAAAATGGGTCTTAAAGCCAAGAAGCCATCCCCAGGGAGCCACTGGTGGTTCTTTGCTACGTCTGGTCTTTAAGTCCTCAACTACGCTCTGAGCCTCTAAAAGCTAGGGGGCAGCCAACCTTAGTGTTGATCCCCTGGCCCAGAGTCCAAGACTCTTCCATTTCATCAACACTTTTCCTCATTGCTCATTGATTGCTGGTCCTGATAGAAGCGTTTCACCTGCTCCCTATTCCCCCTGTACTTCAAAGTCCCCGGCCCTGAAAATAACCATCCCTCCAGCAAGTGCACTCTGTGTGATTTTCTCACCCCTTTCAGCTTTTGTTCTCATCTCCACGTCTGTCTCTATCATTTGCATCTTTCTTTCAGCTCTGCATTTGTGTTTCCTAGATAAAACGGATTAACAGTCTTCACAAGGTATCTCAAGA